TGATAATATTGACCGCCGTCGATAACACTGTCACATTCGTTGTGTTTGAATAGGTAGATAAGAACCGCTTGTCTTGTGTGAAAAAGTTAAGTTAAATTGTCTAAGTATTGAAAAATATTAGATTAGGTAATAGTACAGGGAAAGCGCACATGCGATCCGCGTAGACATCAATCATTATTTTGTTATTTTTGGTAAAAACGTTTGCCCTCTCTTCCTCTCGTCGCTTTTGGAAAATCCGTCAATCTTTGTTGGCTGCATCGGCCCGGGAGACGTGCCCTTTTCAATTTATGGTAATCGCGTTAACCGTTCCCGTTTTTTTTTTTTGCCTTTCCATTCTCTGGCTCAATTGACCAGGGAAATCCAATTTTTATAAACGTGCTTTACATACGTACACCGACAGTTGGTTACAGACCACAATTCGATTTCCTTCCACGAACCAAACAAATTGTTACTTTCCTCAATGAACATAACCGTTAATCGTTAATATCACCATCGAAATTGCTCATTAAAAACACATGATTATTGTGATACGCGATACACGTTTATGCTAAAATGTAGCGGTTGGCTACACTGTCACATTCAGTGCGTCCAATTCATGTGCAGCTGTCAATTTATTATATTAAATCTTAATTTTGGGGAAATTGTTTTTTTATTTTCTTATTATCTGCCCACTGATCAGTTTTAGTACTGTAAGAACACTTTGACTTGCTTTCAGCTTTTTACTTATTATATAGACACTACTTGTGTATTAAGTACGTTCTATCACACAATATTAACACAGATTAAAATATAGTGCACTCTAAACAAATCGAAAAATGTAAGCAAGCTGTAATCATTTCGGGACAGTGTGACCAACATATTAATTAAAAACAACCCTTTTGTTCTACAGTGTGGTCAAAGAAATGTTATCAAGCATCTGTAATGTTATCACCAGCTTGTTATCAGTAATTCTTATCAGTTTACGTTATTAGTGTAAATTTAGTGTACAAAATAAATGTTGGCCATACTGCATTGAGTTTAAGCCAATTAAAATTCGTTATTTGAAAATCTATTGTTCACCGGTGATAACAGGGCTATATTTTATGGATTTAATTTAATATATATATATATTTTAATTATTCTTTTTGAGTGCTCATCGCGCGTCTCCCTGTAAAAACGAGTGGTAATATCCAATCTGGAGTCATTCAATTGTGTATAGTATATTATAGTATGTCGAACAATAGTAATATTAAAAAAAAAAAAAAAGCTGGTAAGAAAGCTGCGACAGGGATAGCGGATACATATTCTACGAGCGTGCCCGTGTCTCATTAGGAACTTTAAATGAAACTATAGGCAATAAATCACGTTACTTCACCACTCGGGACCACTCGAAATAGGGTCGGAAATTTTCCATACAGAACGTGTTCGTCGATGCCGGTATTTACTATGTACCTAACACAGTGTTTTTGGATGCTGTGCGGTGTGTTTGTGTATTCGACGAAGGGTCCGAGCCCAAGCCGGTATGCGTCCCGGTGCCTTGCGGTGTTATAAATCACTGTTGGCCGGCAACCTTACATCCCTGTCGCCTGTATACATAGGTCTGCACACACGGGGAGACTATATGGCCCACACACTGTCGGGTTATCGCCCTGTTTCTTTTTGCCGAACAACAGCTAACCGCAATTTAGCCAGCTACTACCCCCTTTCCCCCCTCTCCGCCTCTCCTTAACCACTAACCGCGGCTGCTAATCATAATCCGTGTCGACATAATATCGTATAAAGATGACCGCTATTAATACCTTGTCAACCGACTACTATGCACTGTAAGCAACTGCGGGTCATTTTGTACAAAAATATACAGGCAGAAACGGGCAAACAAATCGGGATTTTTGCCAATTATTTTATAAAACCGCGTTTCGATGTCCTTGCAAAACCGACCATTTCGTTGGACCGATAAAACTTTTGGTCGTGTTGTACGGACAAACTTACCCACGCGATATTATCTAAACGCCGTCTAAGACGTCGATTCGTGCAAGAGGCAGATAAAGTGGCGCCTAAGTTCAATAATAGTGAACATATTGTATTTGTATCGATTGCTAGAATTCGGTACACTCGGTCGCAGTTGTAAGCAAAGTTGACGCACAATGTACATTTACATATGTTTTGTTGCCGGATGATATTAGTAATGTCACCCCTTCCTCTTCAAAGAGAACTAATTTTTTTAAATTAGTCTAAGTAGATCCAAATTTCTTTGGAATATTCTTTAAACACAGTACTACCTATAAACATTGACTGACCGAAAAAATATCACAAGCCCTTTCCTCCAGTAGGGATAAACAATTTTTCTTTATTTCACTTTTTCAAGCAGTTTTAGAGATTTAGGAACGCTAGATCTTCCTTTTTTTTTAACGTGCTTTTGCGACAATTACTAATCAATATACAATAAAAATATTTTAACAATAAGGGATCTAGGTATAAGGGAGAGTTCCAGAACCAAGGACGACTGGAAATGGTAGGAGAAATCGCTCTATACGAAGCAGCATAACTACGAGGAAGAGAGAGAGTGTCAATTGGATTGCCAGGAATTAAATAATAACTTTGAAAAAAAAATGGCATAGATCAGAGGGAGGAATTCGATAAGAAGGGGGGTAGGTGTAGAGACTGGTCGAGCAAACTAACTTAACCGCCACTTGAATACCGAAGACACCAGAATGTCAGGGCACCCACAGATCTTCCTTGTTCGCGGATAATACTTTCTTACTGTGCTGGTTTGCACAACCCCCCCCCCCTTTTAACGGCACTTTATTTACTTTATTTTTTCGCCAGCGAGTCATTCCTGTGATCGGTTGTTCTTAGATCGCGATCCCGCTAAAAACCGTATGCAGGCTTGCATTTGACTGTTGCACCACGAGTTGACAGATTATAACGTTGTGCGTGTAAACGCAAAGACCCGTAAAACAGCGCCACCCTATCTTGCACACGGTACCGCGGTAAGTTTGAAATATTGCGAAGCGTCGCGGTATTTATTACAATAATAATATGTAATATCCATTCTGTTAACGGCGATTTAACACCAAACATTAGCCGGGGACCTTATCGTCGGCCCCGGGGGGGGGGGCGGTTTTTGTTCTCGAGGTTTTGACAAATGTCCCCGCTGCTGACTCCGTCGTCGCCCGAAATATGTTCCACGTCCAGTCCATTTAATCGGCTCGTGTATCTTTCACGGTACACGTCGCCGGTCAGGTCGAGATTACAACCCTTTCCCTTTGCCCGCGTCCACCCCCGCACCCCTTTTGTATACACATAAACAAGCCTGGTTCCACCGGGAAAAGCGGCGTGCATACTTAGAACTGTAAAACAAAAAAAAAAGGACCTCCGAAACAACTGCTGTATTCCTGAATCATATTGTACTATGTACAAGGTCAATAATATACGTATAATTTTATCGTCAACCACTAACCAATATCTCATTGGGTTTTACTAATAACTGATTTTTTTTTTTCATAATTTTATTTTGTACAACGTGATCTCAATTTTCCACAAATTTAACACAAACCTTACCAAACCAACTTAACCTAACCTAAATTTCAGCGCTTAAAAAAAAATCAACGAAGGTCTCATATTTTTTTTTTTACCAAACTGCACCACAGTCGTTGTGTGCCAGTAGTTTGTACCTGTACCTGTAGAGATACAAATAAAGTATAACTCAATAGGGTCTGGCTTTGAAAATATCATTACTAATGATCAGAACCGAGAAAACAAATAAAGTGTAAAATTAAGTTTTGAAAACTTTTTTTATACTCTGTTTTGACGATTATTTTTTACAAAGTTTCGATATACTATTTTAACAAGAATTGACATATATTTATTTTGTTCTTTACTTCAAATGAAAACAAATTAAATTTTTCTCGACTCTTCAAAATATTGTAACAAAGTTTTTTCTTTATTTTATTTAAATTATTTTGTTATTGTTTCTTGTTCAATTCGACATTGTTTTTTTTTTTTTTGTTCGTATCGTTTTTGAATTATTTAAATTTACTCGGTTCGCATGTTCGTCATTTTCCAACAAAACACTTATCTATTACCATATAAGAAACTCGACCTACGCCTACGCAATCGTCTCCGTACCTTTAATGGAACTAATTAAATTTCTTCTCTTGCACGGTGTGCCTAAAAAAAAAAAAAAACTAAAATCCTCCTCCTCCTCCCCCTTCACCGTACACCGGTTAATTATAGTGCCTTTAGTGTTTCCGCCGTCGTCATTGCTCTTTCAATTAGGCCCGGCATAAAAGGTTTTAATACTATGTACAGGGGTGTTCTACCCCCAGTCAATTCGGTCTCAAAGCAACCGAGAAAACTTTGTTCTTCTCCGAAAACCGCACCCTTGCCGCCTCGCGATTATAATTTAATACTCGCATAAAGCAGCAGATAGAATAATTATATAATATATCGGAGCTCGGTTGTGCCTTTTGCGAGCAGATAAAAAAAAAAAAAAAAAATCCAGTACAAGCCTATGTACATTTAACGTACACGGCTTCAAGTACACACACACGACAACATTATAAAGCATCTTTAAGTACACACAACGCTGCCAAAGCTTTGAGAGTAGGTACATAATAAATGACGTGTACGACTATAGTCTAATAACGGTGCCTGTAGATGTTTGTTCCTGTGCAATGAGCCTTACATTATACAATATACGAGTCTTATACTTACATATATATATATATATTTGATTCAGATCACTATCTCTGCTTTGCTTTGATGTTCAAAGCACACACATAGGTACATAATAGGTATGTAGTTTGACTGTAGAATTTAATAGGATTTGCTCAGAGATTTGCAAAGAGAGTACCGGCTGAACTAAGTTAAAGCAAAACGATATCCAAGTTCGTTGCTGTTGAATTGACATCCTTAGTACAATAATAATAATAATAATAAAATATACATTTATATTTATATATAGCTGTAATAGAGATTTTTTTTTTTTGTTGTACTAACCTTGTGTATTTCTTTTGCAGACAATTGGACGAAAACGAGCATTCCCGCTGCGGCAGAACCATTTGATTCTTGAAATCTCCTGAAATATTAAGAAAGAAAGAAAAAAAGTCCAGGTAAGTTTTTCGGTCGTACTTGTTTATCTCGGTTTTACGGAAAATCAAAGTTTAATTTTTTTCTAAAAAAGAATTCCAAAATTATTTTATACCTACACAGCTGCGGTCTGAACTATAACAATGGAAGTAATAACGGGGGGGGGGAGGGGAAACACAATTAATTCTTAACTCGGTTAAAAGGATAGTGTTTTTCTTCGGGCGTTTAGGTTTATTTAACTAGGATTTGTTTTCAACAAGTTTCCTCAGGAGGATTTGAGTTGATTGTGCAAACAATTCACAAACCCAATGTTAAAGTAATCACAGTTTAAGAACTCGAAGATAGTTTTACTACAATACTAACACTAAACCATTACAGCGTGCTCCTGTCTAGACTTTAGAACTCAACAATTCCAAACGACACGAGCTTTTGTCAAAAAACATTAAACAAACGTTTACTTTTAACTCGGTGGTTCAATAATTTGATCATTCCGGTCAATAAAGTCTTAGGTCAACTATAGTAGGTATCTACATTTCAATTGAAAATATTGTATAATATTAACTGATTTTCAAACCTATGCAACAAGTAAAATTATTGTGTTAGGAAACATCAACATTCTAGTACCGCTATACTGTGAGAAACTACATAGGTTGTTACTTGTATACATTTTTTTTTGAAAACGAAATATGATATTCTAAAACCGTTTCATACCCCGAACAACACATTTTATTGATTTATTTTTCGGCGGAGGTTATTAATATTAATATTTATTAGCAACATTGTTTGCGCGCGATAATTTAATATCGCATAGTTCATAAATTGACGTTGGCAGGTTTTACAATATCACTCTCTTTCTCTCTCTGTGCACATTCATCAGAAACGTGTTGTGTATTGCTATTTTCTTTTGTTCCGGTAATTTCTGTAGATTTGTTACAAAACGCTTGGAACGTTTCTCGAAAACCACCCCTTTTGCCATTCATTTCGGTATTTCTTTGATCCCTCCTCTCGCTCTCTCTATCTCTGTCTGTATAGGAAACCTCTAAAGGTATTAATATCATCATTTCCGACGGATTTAAAGTTGACGTGTACTGCCTTTAATCTGAGCTGCCTCCGGCATTACTATACTGTGTGTGTGTGTGTGCAGAAATTCGTCGTTCGCCGCGCTCTTTGGCGCCCCAAATCCCCTTTTCATTTCGGTGGTGTGCAAGGCTTAAACGGGCAACAGGAGGGGACGCTTTTAGCGATTTGTTATTACACGAAACGGCGGAAAATTGGCCCCTTGGTCGTGTTTAGGCCGAACTGTAGTAAATACCGTTGTTGATGACGAAAGCAGGTATTCTCTTGACGTGTGCTTTGATGATCGCGTCAACAAGTCTCGGCAGCAGTAACCCCTCCCTTGAACCCCCATGGAATTTGTAGAGGAGTACATAAAACATATTTTAAGAACGCCGACACAGTCAGGTTGTATGGTGCAACATATTTTACAAGGACCGGGTTTTTTGTTTTAAAGAAATAGTTTAATATTTTTAATTTACAGTCCATGCTTGTGTTGCTATATACATGCTTATTAATAGGGTATATGCTATATTATGATATACGGTAAATGTCACATGCTATAGAGTGTATGTGTAATATCTATAAATGATACCATATAACTATTCTCTAACCATTTTCGTATCTCGATTAGTATTAAGTATCATTTTCTTATACTATATGGAAACGCATGTTTATTGTTAATTATTCTTTATCATATGTTATATCATTTATAGATATTATATTCTATAGGGTATATGCTATATGATACAGGGTATAAGCTTGTAGGGTATATGTCATAAGCTTTAAGACACGTTTAAGATAGTTTTGTGTCAAGTTAGACAATTAAAATCGTTATAAGATTTTGCATTAGGTACATAAATTATTACTCTACACGCCAACTAATGTCGACGGCAGACAGTTTTTAGCATAATTTCAGAACAATAATTGGGTCGCCAACATACGTTTCATTGTTTTTAAATTTCCAACACTTGTATTTTGTTGGGTACCTCCGCCCAAGTGCCGTTCTATATATATTTTACTGAACAAAACGCTGAAGTGTTTTTTCAAGAATCTCCATTGGACAATAATAACCAACGACCGAAATAATTGCGTTGGTCTTTGGGCAAACGCGTGCAAACATAATTATATTTTCAAGGGTCGGCGTTTAAATTGCTTTGTAGAAAAATAATAGCAGGAGTTTGCGCGGGGATAGGGTGTTCCATATTTCAAAAACATGTATGCTCGATGCCCGAGGAGGCTATATTATACTGCCACGACCATCTACGGTCCTATCGCACCGGTGACGGAAAGATTAATGGAACGTGTGTCGCACCTTAGCGCAACTGTTTGTTTATATAAAAATCATATTAAAAATTAAAATCTACTAATATTTTAATTTCCATGAAACATTTGGTTCATCTTAAACGGGACAATAATAATACGGTTAATGAACCGCGTCGAAATTAAACTTGCCAAAAACTAATTTTTTATATTTCAATCGAACGACATGTAAATATAGAGAAAAAAATGTAATCAGTGTAGTAAAAACCTTAAAAATATTTAACCGAAAAAATAGAATACAATTTAAAAAAGCGTCGTCGAGTATAATACGAAAATATACAACAATACGAATTATTATCAAAAAAAAAAAAACTATTATATAAAACGTCGTAATGAGAAATGCGTTATTGTTGAAAAGTATATAATTGAACTGCGAATAAGTAAAAAAAAAAAAAATAATATTTTTTGCACTCACAAAACACACACCCGGTGAACGGATTTACATAGTAAAAATGAAGCAACTGCATATGAGCCTATATAGCTGCATATATAGTGTGTGTGTACACACACGCTGTGCTTTGTTTGAAATTAAAATTATGTTTTATGTACACTGTAAAAATTGCGTCGCGAATATTGATTTAGGTAAAATAACGAAAATCGGTATTTTTTGTAATTTAACGTTACCAACAACGGCGGAAGAAGAGTGTTTACTTTGTGCGCAGAGAGAATTATTCATTTTTCGCTTACAATTTAATCCCATTTTTTTTTTTTTTAAACAAAACTAGTCCAGAACTGCAATTACCTTATTGTGTTTCGTGCACATTTCGCGTGTTCCAAATTACACTACTGTTTTTTCTAACCTGAAGGGCTAAGATACACAACACACATACCCACTGTGAAACTCAATTAGAATAATATCTGCCACAGTGGCAACAAAAACCGTACAACATCCGCACTGACCGTCGAAACGAGCCGACATTAAAGCCGTCTCCCTCGTGTGTCCTCATCAGTGAAATTAATTACCACCAGCCTGACCGGGCTGTGAGTGTAATTAAGGTAAAAATTATTATAACGGCAACAATGATAATAAAAGTACATTAATATGCCCGGCGTGTAAACTATGTACCGTTGCCGGTTCCACGGGACATTACCTCTAACGTTAATATTATGTAAAAATAACCAATTTATTTTTTTTTTTCAAATTTTTATTAGCGGTTTAATAACTTTTCACCTACCGTGTCCCGTACTACTTTGATTTGATTAATTGATTTTGAGATTATGAACTATTGTCAAAAAACACTTGGCCTAATGATTGTTGTAAATTCTTTATTAGTGTTCTTCTAGTTGACTTTCTATATATTGATATTAAAAAAAAAAAAAAAATAGTGTACTAATTGTACACTTTTTCCTTATCTCCCCAACCGTTTTGTAATTTTGACTGCTTTGACAACCAACCGATTTCGGAAGAAAAGTTACGTTTGAAAGATGTCATTAAAATATAAATATATTACCGTTTCCGGAGTCTCAACGGAAGTACCCGTCAACGTCAAACTTAAAAACGAGCTAACTTGTTTTCAGAGGTAATTTCAAAGAGAAAGTAAAGTATAGGTACCTATCATTCAAACGAGCACACATATATATATATATATATAATAAGCTGTAAAGTGTATTTTTGTTTTGTGAACTTAACAGTTATGGAGAGTTCTCTTTTATTTTAATGTAGTTTTTTTGTTAGCGTTACCGCTAGCGACTTTGTATAAAAGTAAATTCTATTTTTATAAACAATAATAATCTTACATTTTTGTAATATTCTATTTTAAATATTAAATTAACGATTTTTAATTTAAAACCAACACATACCTACATATTTTTATGTCTTCCAATAATTTACTTTAATTAAAAACGTTATTTCAATTTTGAAATATGTTTCAAGGAATGCCATAAAAAAAATCAAATTAAGTAAAGGAAATTCTTTAATTTAGTTATAAACTAATTTATTTTCGTTTGTGCTTAAAAGATTTGCCCGTCTTCTTAAGAAATGAATTTTAATAAATGATTACTATTATTATTACTTTGATAATATAAGACCTGATATTTCATTTTTGTTTGTTATTTAGTTTGTTCATTAGTTTCTTCGACTAAACGGAAGTTAAGATAAAAACAAGAAGTAATTTTATTGATTGCCCTTCGCTTGTTTTGTTTCTTGTTCATAAATTATATTATTTTTTTATTACTTTCTGAAGCAGAATTAATTTTTCTTTCTACAAGACTTCCTTAACGAAAAACTGTTTATGGGGTCAAATCCACGGGTAGACAAATCGTCCATATCGCAGAGGCATTTAAAAAAAAATTGTAGATTAAACAACAACAATAACAGACGTATAAATGATGCGCTAACCAGTTACAACAAGGTATAGTAGTAGTAGAGGAATATAGAATGCGTTTTTTTATTATTATCGGTAGGGGAAAAAACATTAAAAAAACAATTGACCGAGTTACGCGCAGAAGGGTTGAAATGCCATATTTTGTTTTTTTTTTTATTTTCCATTGCATCTTTGATTCGTGTTGTGAAATCTGCACACGTGTCAACTGTCTTGCGTTGTTATATCGTTTCCGTTTTTTTATATTGTCTTATATGTAGAGAAGATAATTTTTTTATTCATAGATAGTGTGCACCAGACTGGAAAATAGTCTGCCAAATCCGTCGGCTTGGCCTATTCATATTTTTAAATATCTCTGATCGATATGCGAACCGATCACCGTCAATATAGTTTGTGTCAAACGCATACAGATTTTCGCAGTATATGTATAATATACTTTCTACACGAATCACAGGGAAATTCATCTCACGGCGGACCGTCAGGCTGTCGTTTAGTATGCTATAAAACAGCTACCTAAAATTTGACGGTTCAACACCTAATGTGCATACATCAAAACATATTTCCAAAATTAAAAAAAAAAAAATTATTTCATTAAAAAATATTTAACGAAAAACTAAGTTTTTGGAATACCCACAAACTTTCGACTTTTAATCTAATTGGCACTCAATTTCGTTCAACTCTCAATTATGTTTTTTGGGATATATTTTCAGGATAAGGTGTAAGGATTCGAATATAATATTTTTATCGAGTAAATAATGTTGAATAAAACAACAAGGCCGTCACAATATTATATAGTAATAGTAAAGTAATAATATAATAACTATTGTACAAAACATTTACAGACCTAAAAGCAGTTCAACACAAAATACGTTTGTATATTATAATATGGCAGTTGTGCCGGACATAATCCTCCGGGAACTAGTATATGTGCTAAAACTCTATTTCAAATTTTTATATTTGCAAATGGACCGTTTTACAGCGCACACAATCCGTCAAAGTGATATTTTAACCGTACAGCGCCATGTCAAAACTGATTAACTTCGACGAGCTCGAATATACATGTATTATATACAGGGTGTAATGTAAAGTTCTACCGAGCTTCAAACGAGACATTCAGGATGCTCTATGGGTACAATAAATGGTGTTCGTTTTTTTTAAATTTTAAAATTATTTAAAATAGAACTTTTATCTCATTAAAAAATTGTCTAACGAAAAAAATTATTTCAGATTTAAAATCGGGAGAAAAAATCTTGTTGAACTGATATGCAACATGATTTTTTGTATATATGGCCACATATACGTTCACAGGGTGGCCACTGAGTGGCCGGCATGTGACTAAAATCAACATATAGCATGCGAAAATATCATTTCATATAAAATAATTCTAAGGGCACCGCTGAATTAACAATGAAATTCTAACCCAAAATGACGTTTCACATGTCATATGGTGGTTTTGGTCACATGCCGGCCACTCAGTGGCCACTCGGTGGACGCAAGTGTGTCCAGATACCAAAAAATCGTGTTACATATCAATTCAACAAGATTTTTTCTCCCGATTTCAAATCTGACATTATTTTATTCGTAAGACCATTTTTTAACGAGATACGAGTTCTATTTTAAATAGTTTTAAAATTAAAAAAAAAAAATTAATACCATTTATTGAGTATCCTGAATGTCTGATTTGACGCTCGGTAGAACTTTACATTACACCCTGTATATAAATATAAATATATACAATATATAATGGTCAGTATCCGTTCAACGCGGTAAGTGCAATCATTACGGCCGTCATAATCGGCGACACGGTAACACAGCTGGCAGCAGATTTGAACGGACCAGAGTTGATCACAGTGATCCTGCCCTCTAACCCTTGCCGAATGGGTGACTTGATGCGCATCATATGTTCTATGATCGGTTCATCCGACTTGCCTACTCGGTGTACAAAAATCCTCGGTAATTATCGAGTTGTCTGACTGGTCGTCAACGGACAAACTCACCTATGCTGATGTACTTGGATGCCGTTTTGAACATGGTATAGCCGTTTCCGCCGTTGGCCAAAAAGTCGCTCACGACGATCGTGTATAGTTGGTCCAAGACCAAAGGCTCATAGACCGGCACTACACATTTGGCACACCTGGCGTCGATGGACTGAACGCGTCGACCCACCGGCTTGCCAACGTCCGCCACTACTTTCAACCCTGTGCACGGTAAAAAATAACACCACAAAAGTGAGCAGAGAACGACAATATTGAGACGATGAGGTCGGACTTGGCGCACAACGCGTTTACCTGATACCTGTAGAAAATCTCCGTGATACTTTCCACTGTCGTGCCGGCTGACTGAATGTTCAAGCGCTTGCCAGACAACTGAGCCCTCCACGGTTATTTTGCCCACGTCGTTCATGTACGGGAAGACCATCAGCACGTCGCCTCTGGTTATTTTGCCTAGACGCGTTCCAAACGATAACTGTTTTAATAACAAATGATGTATTGCGACCGTTACCCAACCGTACCCTCGTTGTTGGCCGCATTGATGCTTGTCCGGAGTGCTCCGCTCGGTATTACGGATATGGCAGCGTCGGTCCATTGCTCGGTCACGTTGAACGAAGTGATGTATTTTCTGAGGTTCTGTTAAAAAAAAAAAAAAAAAAAAAACGTTTCCTTTCGGCGTCGGCGTTTGGAAAAATAATAATTTGGAAAACCACGCTGACTGTTCGTTTTCCTCTGAAAACCGCCCATTTGCAGTTGACGCCAAACGTGTGTGTACTTACAAAGTCCACGAACGCGTCCGTCGCTATGTTTCCCAAATTGCATTCCCGCACTCGGCACATGTAATCGTCTCCTTCCAAGAACACGGCCGAATAGGCCACCACTTCGTTGGTCTTGTTGACGATTTCATCCTGTACGACGTTGACGGTTTCCAGTATTTCCGGGTCTACAATCAACACACGGTCATTAACACACACACGCGAGCTTATGCACCTCGGTGTTTGCCGGTCAGGTACTGTTCTCTTGCCTTGTGCCACGCTCGAGTCCAACAACACTGGATTGCCATCGCAACTCACTACCTCCCCGTGCCGGTCGAACTCCATCCAAAGTTTGCCCAAGTACTTGGTCACGTACAAAGCCTGGACCACCGGTACTCTCCTGCCCGTGCCCGGTTGTTCCACCCAATAGGGATACGGGCCGGACGGTTTGTCCGCGTCCGGAGGCTCGCCTGTTTGAAAATACCGACCGAAACAATAAATTATTACTGTTGTAAAATTGCGTTAAACTACTCCAACGGCTTACCGTTGTACAAAAACGTATTGGAATGTCCGCCGACGATCAAGTCCAACTCCGGCACGCGTTTGGCCATTTCTATGTCCGTCCGGAAGCCGGAATGACCCAGGCCGATTATAATGTCCACTCCCTGTGATTTCAAACGTCTGGCTTCGGCCGACACCGACGGGATTTCCGGTAAAAACTTAACGTTGCCCACGTTGGAGGTGAACTGCAATAAAGTAAAATCAACACACCTGTACACGTCTAGCGGTTGTTTTCCGAACGAAAGAAATGATAAAATGATAATAACTATCTGATAAGAGACAAGATATTATCGTATGTTCTATTCGGTTCTGATCTGTGTCACGATTACATGTACACTTGCCTTTGTGTCGGGCAGTACGTATCCTATGATACCGATTTGGTGACCGTTCACCGTGACGACCTTTGATTTTGACAACGACTTTTCCTTGCCCAATATCGGTTCTTCCGAAAAGTCCAGGTTACAGGCTACAACCGGTATCGTGACGTTGTCGAGGAACTCGTGGAGTCTTTCCACGCCAAGGTCGAATTCGTGGTTGCCCAAACTCTAAAATTAAACAGTGTTCGTTCAAATAACGGCCCAGTCTTACTATTCGTTTACCGTACAAACATTTTACATTGTCTTTAGATAATGTAAAATTTAATAATCTCGTTTATCAGCCTAATCATAACCGTAGTCGTATTTATTTAATTGCCAAAAAAAAAGACTTGAACGGGATAGCAATCTTTGAAAAACCCGGTTTAAAGCTATAACAGTGAAAATATATTTCTGTTTTACCAGCCTACTCATGGTATAGGAAAAACCGTTGTAATATTTTTTTAGTTTTCATTTAACTAAGTAGAAATCCAATGAGAATCACAAGTACCTAATTTTAGAAAATATATTACCAAAGTAATGTTAGGTTACCTAACTAAAAAAAAAAATCCCCATTGTTGACTTCGCAGTGCTCGTTGTGACTTTTCTATGTTAAATTATAGACAACTGATCAATGATTTATTTTAGTTAAAATTACATAATTGTAGATCTAGGTTATAAAACCGTCGTCTCGTTTGATTTGCTTAAGAGTCATTATGTATTAAAATGTTTTTAAATCGTTTAAGTATAATAATTATACTAATCGCTTGACGAATACTCCAAATGGTTTTTTTCTTTTATCAGCACTTATAGGCTACTCGTTTAAGTGTGAACAATAACCGTGTGAAATTTTATTTTTATCGAGTCTCACAATAATTATTATTACAATATTACATACAACTATGTAGAATCAGGCGGCCTTATCGGTAAAAAAAAAAAAAAATTGTTATTCATGTTATATTTCTTTATTATATTGAATATTTACATGTGTACAAATTGAGTTTTTGTAAAAATTAAACCAAAGTGCAACTGCCAGGTCTTAAAAAAATGTTCTATACACCTACCCGGCCAGCTAACTCTTGTGCGAACGACCCTCCCTGTGAAGATCCTGATACGATTAAAGTTTGCTTTTTAATTAAAATTATAACATTAATCCATTTCGGTAACGTTAAGACGAATTTCGCATGTTTACCGCACAACGTAGGTACTTTGTCGGTTTCCACAAAATCATAATGTGTGCTTCAAATTAATACCATAAAATATGTCTCATTAAAAACGCACTTGGCTAATGGTGTTTAAAAGTAACTTTGCGCACAATATCGCGGCCGATGCATATAAGTCGGCCAAAGTTTCCTCGTTACTCAGTTTTAAACTTAAAATTAACAACTTCCACCGAGCCCCGCATACACCGGAGAAGCCCGTATAGTATTTTTTTTCTTATGAAGTTATTCTATGTGAAAACCTAAAACCGTTGGCTGTTGGCAAGTACAACGCTGTGGTGCTTTTCGCATACACTAAGACGGTGGAAAACATTCTCACATCGGCCGATGTGTGTAACAATACGTCTAACAGTAGTTAATATTGAAAAACCAGAAAAAAAAATGTATTTTCTCGAAACAGTTACTCATAAAATTCTGTTAGACTTAAACCCGTTTAATTTGCGACTTACAGTTTAATTATAAAAAAAAAAAATAAGGTAAATCTAAATGCAATTTAATTTCATAAGACCAACTAACGGGCACTGATTGAATTTTTTTTTTCGAACGGCCTATTGGTAGCATGTGATTAAAAATGTTTAATTAAAACTAAACGTTTTTTTTTTTTTTAATTAATAAATTACGTTCATGCTTTTTCCGCCGTTTTCTTAAAATTACCTCGAAAGACTTTAATTACATTCGTACAAAGTTTGTTTCCAGCAAATTAGTTTCTTTATCGAGTTTGAAATTTTAGAAAAAAATGTCAACCCAAAACATGTTTTTTTACTGCACTAACAGCGCAGTTTAGTTGTAGATTTTTTCTAGTTGTATATTTTACTGAAAGTAATGGGTGATTTAAATTAAATTTTTTTTTTTGGTATCAAGCATTAATAGACCGCGTGGCCAGTTGCTTTACACGCGGCTATGAGGATTTTCAGAGATAGTAGCAGATAAAAGATTAGAAATTAGTGTGTTTTCGTGGAATTTTTAATAGTAATGACTAGTAAGATAATGGAACAGAGTGCGATTAACGACATACCACGAAACGTTGGTTTTATTTGTCTTAAGTTTATCGACTTCCATTATTAATATGTCCCATAGTTGGTGGAATCTATTGTTTGTACAGAATCGATAACAACAAATAATTTTATTCTAAAGTAGTTTATAATTTATCAATAAGCGACTCGTTTAAATTGCATATGTTACACATATTAGTTCACTCACTAACTTTCTAGATTAATTTTTTTTTATACAGTTCAAAAGAAAATCTAATTTTTCCATAGCTAACATTTTGTTTTATTTTTAATTTTAAAATACTTTTTTTAAGAGCTATCAAAAATAGTTGAAGAGTGTATTTGTTCTAAGTGCCAAAGTATAAAAATTGAACTTTATAATTAGATTTGTATTTTATTCATAACCGGAAACACTTTGACATATTTTTAAGTGTTAAATATTATCGTTTTTTTTTTTATAAATAACTCACTTACTCACTTTATTCCTCACTTGACAAATATACAAAATTGTTTCCGGTAATGAACAAGAATAGAAATCAAATTATAAAATTCAATTTTTATACTTTGGCACTTAGACCGTTTAACACATTCACTCTTCAGTTAGTATTAAAACCAAAAATATCAATTTCACTATTTTCTCCACGCACTGCTCTAATATTATTAATATTTTGACTAGATAGCCGATAACGGGATTAAAACAGGACCATGTTCTAAAAACAGGACCTAATCTTAGGCTGAGGTTGAGGTTAGGTTAGGTTAGGTTCGGTTTAAGTTAGGTTTGATTAGGTTTAAAGTTAGGTTCCGTTAGGTTTAGGTTAGGTTTGGTTAGGTTTAAGTTAGGTTTGGTTAGGTTTAAAGTTAGGTTTGGTTAGGTTTAAAGTTAGGTTTTAGGTTAGGTTCCGTTAGGTTTAGGTTAGGTTAGGCGAGGTTTAAAGTTAGGTGTTAGGTCAGGTTCGGTGCTCACCATGACGTCGATGTCGAGCCGTCCGAGCATGTCGGCCACGATCTTCATACCGAGAAACGTGAAAAACGCCGTTCCCTGTGCCGTGTCGCCGGCGTTCAGCGACAGCGTGGGCACGTTGGCCATCTGCGCCTCGCGTCTGGCCTGGTCCATGGCGGTCTTCATCCGGCCGAACCCGCCGTAGCACGGCGCCGAGTCGCGGCACGGCCGGCCGTACTTGTCGGTCTCGGCGAACCGGCAGTGCATGTCGTTGTTGTGCAACAACAGCAGTCGCCAATTGCCGTTGGCCGCCTCGGTAGTCCTAGCCAGGGCGGCGATGGCGAACACCGATGCCGCGAACGCCAAGGGCCGGCGAATAGCGAATAGCGGCGAAATCATTGTCGGGGACGGTCGCAATCAACGGGTGAGATGTCGCCTTGGAGTGACCCTCGTGCCGCGCTGCTCGGTCGAGCCGTCAGACCACACGGCCGGTTTATCGTAATCGCACACACTTGTCCGCTGAGGAGGAGAGACAAAAATAAAATAAACAGCCGTTGCCTATCTCTCTAGTTAAACACTTCTATTCACACATTATAATATTACGGTCCGTAACGATAAGCCGTTTCACCGTTAATGGCATTATCATTGTGTTTATTGTATTATCGTTATAGATATCACAAGACGGTACGCCAGTGACGACATCTAGTTAATCGGCGACAAAACAATAATGATTGAAGGGTAATAATCAAAAACTGAGTTAGACATTGATTCTGATTGTAAACTAAACGAGCAATTCATTTTTGGCATATTATTCTATTCCATATGTATAGCGTCGTAGAAACAAATGGATTTACAAATTAAAGCCAATTCAAAACGCGGTATTGCCTATTTTTGATTTTTTCAAAATATACTATTTCCATTTCACGTCCAAAGTATACAAAAATACTTTTAATGATGCATACGTGGTATTTGCAATTATTTTTCCAAAACGTGTTATTTTTGTTGTTGGTTCAAAATGTGCTATTTCCTTTAGTTTCAATATATTATAATAATGTTATCTCCTACTACAAAACGTGCCTGATTTCCCTATTGTCTAATTTTGTTTGGTAACGTTTAATTTTAAAGCAAATTATTAAATTAGTTGACTGAAATCTGTACACTTTTCAAAGAGGTTTTAAAACATAAAGTAGGTACCTAATTAGTTTAAGCAGAGTTTATCTGGTCTTATCGATTATACGTACGGCCACTATCTTTACGATATTACAATGTGTATACTTATCTACTAAATTTATTATTGTAAATCAAAGTTTTCCCTCATTTTGTTTGGGCCAAAAAACTTTTGGTATTTCCAATAACTTCCTGCCGGCGTACCTTTGCCGTTAACGTTACAGAGGTAAACACCGTTTTTGCGCCTGTGGGTTTAGTAATTCAAGTAATAAGTCCGGCGTCTAACAGCTATTTAAAAACAACTAACTTTTCGAATAAAAAAAGTTTTTATCTGTCTATACACCTACGGGTTATATTCGATCCGGCCCAGATAAAACCGAACCGAGTTAATGTTATTATCTTTACACACACAAACTCGTCTAAGACTTTGACATTTTCTTTTTTTTTCCAGAACTCAAAAACCTCAAAACCTACCTTGTTGTAATCATTGCACACACACACACACACTATTGTGTGTCCCGTCGACTGAAGAAGAATGAAAAATCGTCTACCGGTCGACTTTTAGTCAAGGTGAGTAAACAAAAAAAAAAAAATATATAAATAATATATCTTTAATGTAACCACAATGGGAACATCCACGACAACAAAATCAGAATATTTTCACCGACAACAATGTTCACAGTGCTCGCCTGTCGAATAATAACAGTGCACGTTAATGAGGAACTTTTGAAAAATTGTAAAAAAAAAACCAAACAGATTTTTAAAAAAAAGAATTTTTATTATTTTTGTTTTCCTACTAAATCAGTACAAAGTAAATAAATCATTTCCATTGAATCCGTCGGGCCGTTGTGTTTCACTTCACTTTAGTTTACCTGCGCTAAGTTAACACTCTTTGGAAGTCCACCATTGTTAATTTTAATCAAGGTTTTTTTGTTAAATTTTATTTAGCAATCAATTTAAATAATCAAATGAAACAACAAAAAAAAAACGTTTATTCCAATACCATCTTGTGTGTAATGATAATCAAATAAATCATGACCTTTGACAGTTAAAAAATATGTCTGCTTAAAAAAAAATCCAATTATAGCTTAAAACTATTGAATTATATTTGTTTAAAATATATTATAAGCTACTCTTCATAACCAAAAATAATATCTTATTTTCATCGCTTATAAATATTTCAAAAAAGTAAATTGCATGCAACATTAAAACGCTATTCTTAACCTTTTCCTTGCCATTGTATCTTTAAAAGATACATATACATTCTGTACATGCATTGGCCAATTAACATAGTATTATTATATTGTATTTGCCAAGCAAAAAAAAAATGTGCTAATTAGTGTACATTATTCTCTCTAAGGCTTGACTAGCGCCCATTATTAATGACTAATTTTCTGAAAATTCCATACAAAACTCGGACACAAGGGTTGAACCGCTTGTTATTGTTTCTGTCGAGGGGTGGGCGTTTTATTTAATTTTGTTTGGGTCGGACCAACAGACACATAGTAGGCTTTGCCGGTTTTTATTGAGTTATATATAATTTGCACCCGTACGATTTTAGTATTCACGTCCGTCTCGGTCGTACTTAATTAAATAAAAAAATAAAAAAAGCTAAAACAATAACCGTAACACAATTATTATACTGTTGTAAGCCCGCTCAGGTTAGGCCGGGTTCGTAGTGGCAGGTAGCGCGTGAATGAAGCAAAAGTAACGTTAACGATGATAATGGAAATGAATAGTACAAATAGTTACAATAGAAGTTGTCGTTTCAGGTTTTTGAGTAGCAAAAATGCACATATATTTATATATGTCATAGTGGTAGTTGCACAGAACTAACAGAAGAGAAACCATATCATTTTTATGTGGGCTCAAATGGGAAGAGATAAAATGATGTCCGACATCTTGAGAAACGAACAGTGCCGGTAGGCGTAGGGAAATTATTTTTTTTTTCATTCATTATGGCTAAACTGTTCAACCTTATCAAAATTTACTTTTTTATATAGTTCTTGGTACTTAATCATGCTGAATTTTTTTATAATATCCTCTTTGGAAACACAAAAGTATTATTTCAAGTGTTATCACACAGTAAATAGTAACACAATTACATGCGGTTGAATCATTTTACAAAAATGCTTCTTCTGAAAATTATGATAAATACAGATACCTACTGTGTTGTACAGCTCATTGTTGTAGGTGTAGGACATATTTTAATAAAGGAACAGTGTAGCCATAAATCACAGAAAAGTTTTAAAAAAAAAGGAAATATGTGCGTTCTGACATCACTGTCTATTTATTAATAAGTCTGATTATACAATTTTGACTGCTGGCCTTAACGTTTCGAGTGGAGAGATCTATGACTGGGATTATTGATCTCAAATAGTAAATCTCAGGCGAGTGTGATCGAAAAGTTCATCGAGCATCTGTAACGTTATCACTTTCGTCGTTGATCAACTACTATTGTACTACAGTAATCGTTATCAGTTTTGGTTATTATTGTAAACAGTGTGTGCAATATTTTCGGTACTATATATTATGTTGGCCCTACTGCATTGAGTTTAACCAATCAAAAATCGTTATTTGAAAATCTATTGTGCAAAACAATTTAATCCGTGCTTATACTTTGGTATTCAATCGTACCCAATAATAATAATATTATTATTGCCTGTATAGGAATGCCATCTCGACTGTTATTAATGTCGATTGGAATCGGTCACGTTTTGTGTAGCCCGAAATGGACATTTAAATCCGCCCAACACGGAAACGTACTTATAAAATATGTATTTGTACTTCAAACTATCCTCTCGACCGCCTTTTGATCAACACAGGTTTACGATCGCTGAACTTACCGGCTATACCTATAATATGTTATGTGCACTTAACGACTGTGTATCATCTCTGTATATATATATATATATACACAATATAATATAATATTATACCTGTGGAAGCCCCGCCGGGGTGTATTTGAAATTGAAACCGTTTACGTTTTCGCTCTTGTGCTAATAAATTATTGATTGTATCACTTTATATTTTGTGCTTTTGCGGCCAACGCACCTGTCGGGCTTGAAAATATCTTTTTAAAACCCCGGCACGGTCTTGAGTACTTGATAAAATATTTATATTGGAAAATATTCAAGCGGTGTTTCAACACAAGTGTGTATCCGCAGAGGGATTTTCTCCGGCACGCCTTTGGTTAATATGCAAAATGTATTATACGTACATCAGAAATATGCGGCGCCGGTCGTATGTCTTATTTAAATACAAGATATTTTTTTATGCTCAAGCCGTCGGCTAGTCGGGTACACGAAAAGCGTATATTCTTATTAGCTATCGCTATGGTTTAACCGCAGCAGCTCTGGGGCCCGAACTAGCACGGGGTGTTCATACTCTGCACGCTCTTAAGCAAACAACCGAATTATACCACCGCAAAGCCGTGCAGATTTACTTCACACGGTCGTTCCCATAGTTGGCCTTTGGCAATCCGGAAAACTTTTGGACGGCCCCGAACTTGGCGTTTTGAAGCCGTCGCTTGGAGCTGTAAACTTTAGACAGCAACCTCCTCGTCATGGTCCTATCGAGCAAGACATCTGCCGTTTAATCTTCGATTAGGCGTGTGATGAACATCTACGGTCACCAGGCCACACGGAGTGTACTTCCATTATCCTAAGTAGTGATTCGAGCTGTTTGTTTATGGAACCACACAGCTAGTGTGGGAATCTGACAAGTTAAAACTAGAACAACGCCATAGCAACAGCCCGTGGCCGTTAAACGCATCAAGAGGGTCATTGCAAACAGTTGTACTCTAATTGAAAACAATCTCTCTGAATCGGAATTGGTCATTTTGAAAACCACAAAATAAATAGGAGCCCTCTATATAGTGTTTACACGTAAAAAAAAACAATACTACATATCAACATAACCTATATATTATATTATTATACTTAGTACGTTGTGTACAGTTGCTTTTCGTGGGTTTGTTATTTGTGTAGGTTACCATTTATATTTTACATTAATGCTTTATTTTCGTTATCGGAGTTGAATATAGTATTTTATAAATATTTATATAATATATATATATATATACGATCGAAATAAGTAAACAAATATTTTTTGCAAAATAAACTTCAGCCTTAGCTTCAACAAAGATGCATGTTGTTTTATGACAGTATATTATGTATATAAACAAATGGAGATGCGCTATATTTTCGGTTTTCTTATGTTAGGTCATTTTTGTTTTTATTTTGACATACTATTTTGTTTGTTTGGGAAACATTTTTGTCTGTTAGAGTAAAGTATTAACATATAGTGTTCGATATAAACCAACAAGGACAAATACAGATATCTTCGGTCGTGCGTTTTCCCATTCTCATACACAGAAAGAGGAATAGGGGAAGGCAGTGGGTAGGGTTGAATAAATATGGGGTACGTTTTAATAATGCTGATGGAATCGTTTTCAAAGTTTATTTTTTATTTCTTCAACTTGCAATTTCATGTTGTTTCCCATCAATGTATCGACCCAACAAAAATGATTAAATATTATTAACAATTGGTTGGGTAGATTTGAATTCCATTCATAAATTACTTGATTCTTAAGTTTTATGGAAAGTGAAGGTTATAGTTTGAGCCAAGAACCAAAACAAAAATAATGAAACGTAATATTCCTTACTAGCGTTAAAAATTGGTTATGTTTTATACGGTGTTTGAGGAGCTCTCACTTCCATCTAAGGGTTTGGTTTTTTGTGTGTTTTTTGTTTACAATTTTACCATTAAGAAATGGCCAAGACGTTTTGAAATTCACCAGACGCCCCAGTTAGTAGATACGATAATTATTATTACAATGAGCGTCTCAACAACTACGGTACCTGTGCAGTCCGTCAACCGTTATTAAAGTGTACGGCTGAGTGCCGCAAACATAGTCGGATGCAAATTATAATAATCGTTATAAAGCCCAGTGATGTGCACCCCTCGTCTATTATATTATACACAACAGAGAACTTCCCCGTACTTACAAGTACAAAGTCCCGTCGTACCGTGTATAATGCGCTTAATCCGAAAAGCTAATAAACGCGCTCGTTCGCGTGGAAAGTAAAAAAAAAAAAAAAAAAAAACAAAAGAAATGACAATGGAAATTGATAAATGCTAAAACGGCGACGGTGTGGACCAACCTATTCTAATGGTTTAGATTTAAAAGCGAACAAACAAGATTAAACACCGTATAACAGTATAACATACGATTGTAGTCGAAAACTTTAAACCAAATAAAAAAGCACATTTGACTAACTTGAACATTGTATAGATGATTACAACCATTGCAATTTACAACAGTTCATCGAAGTTAACAATAGGAGTAATAGAAATATAGTACCAATGCCTATATCCGTAATAGTTCAATATGTTGTTTTTCATTGTTCATTTTTCGCTGCTGACAACCTGATCTTACACAGTTACTTACTTAAACATTTAATCAGTTATCTTTAATCACTTATTTCTCACCACTTATCTCTTATCATTTGTTTATTGTCACTTATCGTTTGTCTCTTTGCTCTCATCACTTATCTCATATATCTAAT